AAAATATTGATAACTTTCCGTGGGAATACATATTTAATCAGAGGAAATTTGGCAGCGTCTGAAGGTTGATACGGCGTTCTTCCTCCGCGCAGGACGGCAGTATTATTACGGTCGCTCTTTTCTTCCGTTCCGGGGCCTGCTGTAAATAACGTCGGCGAACTGTCGACAAGTACTGGGAATCTGGGTTGATACCCGAGGAAAAGGGTCTATTCTCGTGAAATTTACAACGGACACGCCAATAAATCACCGCATTGTCACAACTAACGATTTGAAAGCAGTTAGGTCCTCCGTGCACGCGCTGTCTCCCGCTTACCTGCTCCGCTGGCCGCAGGGACTTGGTCAGTTGGAGTTTTCCACCCTCACGGGCGGCGGAGGGGGGGGGGCGATCCTGTCGAAGACGGGTTTTGCGTGCGTAACTTGAAAAGGCCACCTCTCACAACAATAAATATTTACTTTTTCCCTCCTTTATTCGACAGCGTTTTGAGTGCATTATGGTGCTGGCCTTTGCGTTCCAGTTACTTTGTTTCGAGGAGACTTCTTCATCAACGGTGTTTGTCTTTATTTCCGAACTCCCGCGGCCATCACGTCTTCAGCTCCAGTTCTAATTCGAGTTAACTTCTCAGTAGCTGTCCCCTTTGTTTGCTCCTTAATTTCGACACGGGGGCATTGTCTTCCCCGTTGGTGCGCACGATTGTTCTGTCGACTGAAAACAATTAGTTCCAAATATGACGCTTTTGCCTCCGTTTACAGCCCGCATTCAACGTGGAGCACCTTCGCTCCCTCAAAGGTTACCGACTTGTTTGAAGTGAAAAATGAGCTGAAGAACAGTGGCTGAGCGATTGATCATGCCTTTTCTCTCGGCGAGATGATAATGGGAGTCCAACTGGACGCCTGAGATCAGATCACAAAATCCCTCGTTTGATAGCGGCTGTTGAACGGTGAAACAATGGGTCCCTTAGTCAGTGTCGTTTCAGCGGTGGGTGCGGCAATTTTCCAAAAGGAAAGCCTTATACACATTTGCCAGTAAGACTCTCTGGGCAACTCGATGGCTGATGTCAAAAAATGTGCATTTCCATTGCAGTGATTCAAAATATTCGATCATGTTTTATTTTTTCGAAGGAAACGAACTAAATTTCAATGTATTATCAACGGAAAAGTAATTTAAAGGAGGTATATCGTTTAGGGCTGTTTTTAAGCCCACCCTGAATTTCCTCATCTCTACAATTTTTTGGTCATTTTTCAGAATGCATCGGGATTTGGTCATCTCCAGTCTCTTTTGAGTCTAGTACTGCATTGTTTGTTAACATCTACCATTAGGCCCATGTTAAAGGCCAGTAATAGACCTAAAAAGGATCTCAAATGACCAAAGCATGATGCATTCCAAAAAATACAGACCTTTAATACGCAAGAACCTGTAGGAGTTAAGGAAATTCAGCCAGCGGCGTGGCGTGCTTTGCGATGTAGCGATGGTTATGCCATTTAAACCTATGGAAAAGGATAGATAAACAGGGTGTTCGCAGCGAACATCGTAATAGTAGATTCTTTACCATAGGTTTAAATGGCACAACAATCGATATATCGCAAAGCACGCCACGCCACTGAATTCAGCTGCACGATGGGCCCAAAAAAGGCCTTTAGATACCGACACCTCCCTTTTCTGTAGATGAGGTTAGAAGTTTAATGGCTTTTTCTAACGAGAGCAAAAAGAGTATCAGGATAATTTTTAAGTCGATTGGCCCTCTCTTAGGCCTTGTCTCCACGAAGCGTTTCCATGGGATTTGCGGCAATCCGCAACCCGGAAGACTATATAAGCTGCTAACAAACAGGCTTTTTCACCCCGGGTCGGGGAAAAGGATAAACAAAGTTACAGTCACAACAGGTGGCAGGTAGCTCCATTGAGCCACTCAACTCGAGGATCATTTGCCACGGTGGAAGAATGATATCATTCAAATACCCATTGAATTTTCGCGGTTGGGGTTCGGGAAGGTGCTGCTTAAAAAACTGAGCCTGGCGCCGACTTCTGATAACCTATTACCTTGAAACTTTTGCCAAGTACCGTTAGTGTTAGCCAAAGACGCAAGTTTTTTTAAAAGCTATTTTTAAATTAACAGATCCTCTAATTAGTTTCTTCTTTTCGAAGGGACGAACAGCGTCCTAATCAAAATCGGCCTTTTCAGTGACTTTAACGCCTGTATAGAAAAACCACTAACTCTTCATTTGAGTATTGGCCTGCAATCCCGCAGCCTGCATCAATCTATTCAAGGAGACAATTAGCGTTTTGATCAAAATCGACCTTTTCAGTGACTTTAACGCTCGTATAGAAAAACAGCCAACTCTCAATTGGAGCATTGACCAACACTGCTACCTTCCAATCTGTATTGCTAGTGAAACTAGAAAACGCATGATTTAAGTTTGTGACGTTGCAAATTTTCCAAAAAATTCTTATTTTCGTAGAAGAGGATCTAACAATCATTTATTTGTGAAAATTGACTATGTCCCCTCCCTTAATTGAAAATTTCACCCCAAAAATCCTCGTGAACACATCAAATTTGCTTCAAATCTTTTCCTTTGGCCTTATAAAAAATGTTTCTGTTGTGAGAACATGTTCTTGTTGTCCTGAAGTCTTGTAGAAATAAATAGACTAGGTATTCACAATAACGTTAGTATTCGTAGTGGTGCTAATCCTGATTAAGTTAAAAAGTTTGATGTTTGGCGGTGATAACCCGAATTTGAAACAATCGACTCTCCGGACGTAGGCACGCAGTGGTGGGAGGTTGTCTCGGTAAAATCGAGGTTTCTTGCAAACCACGTCACCGATTTTCAAAAACTTGGGTTATATTGTTAAAGCTTAGAGTATACAAAACATGGATTTTTACTGATTTGAGTTGTCTCTTTTTGTTCGGAACATACAAAGTAGGGAACCTTCCTTATCGGATGACCCTCGTAAAAATAAAATAAAAAATTAAAAGGAAAAATTCACAGGCTCTCTTCTTTTCTTCAGTTTGCAGTGAGTCTTTCTACATTCTAACATTTTTATGGCCACAATTGATCAACCTTGAACCAATTACCACTATGCAATCAGTGATGCTTGTTGAACCTTCCAATGACGACTGGATCCAATCAACATCAGGATAAGTTTATCCAAGACAACAAATAAAAATAGTGAAAACTATACGAACTGAAACTTGAAAATTAGAATTTACGCAAGCAGATATGTTTCAAACTGTGATTTTTTTAGTTTGAAGGATAAAATTAACCTATAATCTAAAACGGAACCTCAAGAAATATCAATATGTTTAGAACGTCGTTTATCGGTAAAATCAAATATCATGGAGCTTAAGCAAATGTTTATTTTTTTTATCAGATAACCTCGCTCGCGTTCTCTGAAGAAAAAAAAAAGGCGTACTCCAGACAAATTACACACTCCAATTGATTAACAACACCGTTTATCGGTTTAATTGAATGATCATGAGGGGATACAAATGTGTATTTTCCTAATAGATAACTATTCGCGCTTCTCAGGTATGTTTGTTGCCTATAGAGCAAAATTGAAGGCGGGCCTCGAGTGGACGATATTTAAGCATTGTGTATTGGTTCCAGCATTTATAGAGAGCTCCTCATCGTTGTTCTTCATTTTTTGAACAGTTTAAAAGAACCTAAATGAGGCACAGAAAGGGTATTTCTTAGTTGCGGTGTCCCAGAATCTCATCAGCGAATTGATATTTTAGTGATGAAACGATTAAATTATCAGAGATTTTTCGTTTTCAGAGTACAATTTTCAACGAATTCCATATTTTTGCTTTAACTATGATGTATGGAACGTTAGTGGGTATTTTAAGACATCGCAACGAAGAAATGCTATTTCTGCACCAGCAGCTCTTCCAATACTCTCGCTGTATGGACTTTTTAACTGATTTTCCCTAAAATGTATTCTTGATTACAACAAAGAAAATCGTTATATCTCATACCAGGTCTCGAAATTCTCGTTAAATCCGAAAACAGTTGAACAATCTTAGCAACACCTAATGGGCCTGTTGCAAACTTTTGCTAAGAGCAAAAATAAGAGTTGTTTCTTATAGATAATGCCTCAGAAATCACGATGAGCGCATCGGCAAAGTCTGAAATGCACTCATAACTTCACAATCTGCGTAAGAAATTTGCGTTTTTTTAAGCTTCCCGCTTCAAAAACGATACTACGGCACAGGTGAACATTTTGTTAGAGGAGTCGCTCCATCGTCGGCGATATTCATCATGGCCGCACTTGCGCGCAGTTTTGCGCGTAATTCGAGGAGAGTTCAAGGTCAATCAATGCGGGCGTGGAAAACATGAACGTTAAAACACGCCGATTGTTATCTGGTCTAATCCAGTTCAGGTATTATCTCGTCCCATCACACGTGTTTTGGCGGATTGGCGTCGGCCATGATGAGTATTGCCGACGATGGAACGACTCCTCTTACAAAATGTTCACCTGTGCCGTAGTATCGCTTTTGAAGCGGGAAGCTCAAAAAACCGCAAATTTCTTACGCAGACTGTGAAGTTATGAGTGCATTTCAGACTTTGCCGATGCGCTCATCGTGACTTTTGAGGCATTATCTGTAAGAAACAACTCTTATTTTTGCTCTAGCAAAAGTTTGCAACAGGCCCATTGTTATCAGCAAATCTTAAGTTTTTCAAACGCTTAGACGGTTTTTATGTACCGTCTATTTTACAAAATAAAAAACAAAATTATGTGAAAAAATAACGTATCATAAAGAAGTCGAGGCAAGTCTGAACTTCCAATTCGTCACGCCCGCGCATCGGGACGCGGCGGGGGCAAGGGGGGGCTCTCCGTCTCCATTCATCCGGCTGCCCAGGTACACGCCAGCGGCCCCTGGCATGTGCGCCGGCCGCCTGAGTGGCTGTTCTCCGTTTCCGCGCCCCCTGATTGGCCGAGCGCGGCCACGGGGGCGGAGTCCTGCGCCGCTCGTGGAGAGGAAAGATCCGTCCTAACTGGTCCTCGCCGTGTTTCCACACATATCGCTCCAAACCGCCGCGTGTTGTTACTGCCGTGAGTGCGTGTGTTGTGTCCCTCGCTTAAAGCACCGTAACGCAGCGCAAATTCCTTCCGCAAGCTCTCCGTGGAGTTTCGACGGAATTCGAAAGTTGTGAGTGCGGGTCCTCTTAAGTTGTTCTTCCGGTGCCCTCTAGTGGAAATCCCGTCTTGGATCCGTTCGACGGTTGAAGTTTAACTGTGATAAACAATTGTTTTTGTTGGTTGATTTGTGTGTATTAGTTATCGTTATACCGTACTCGATCCGATTGTTTCTCTGGCAGCGCTTGTGTGGATTACGACTTGTGCATGATGTGTTGGGATCTCTAGAACCGGTTTCTCTGATGACTGTTGTTGTTGAACGATTTTCCGGACTTGACTTGAAATCCGATCTCAGAAGATGACAGTGACCAATTTCGGAATGATGCGCCCCGTCTTCAATGGATATCCTTTCCAAGGTAAGGATACGGTTCTTTAGATAATCATTTTCTGTACATAATGGGTTGTAATGGCATTTTACGAGTTTTCTATGTATGCCACAGGACGAACTAAAAGTCTGCACTGAAACCTTTAGAAAAACATTAAACGGACGCTGGAAGTTGAACGGGATGCAACTTTGTTGAGTTCCAGAATTATGTGAGAACACTCACACCATAAAGAGGTACACGCTGTTTGCATTTTTCTAACCTCCCCTGTTATATTGTGGGGGGGGGGGTCGGTTCAGGGGTGCCAGAAGTTTTGGGAAGGCAAACATCTAGTCGAGGCTATCAGCTCAATAATATCGGCAGAGTTGTGATGCGTATTTTAATCCTAACTTATAAAATTTACTGACAATCGACTTCCAATTGTGATTTCTTGATTCTAGTCCGTCATTTATTCCAAACTTGCATTATTCTTGCATGAACTTCCACATTTTTGCGCTATCTAAAAATCTGTTGATCTAAAGGTTAGAAAAAACCTGGTGAGCGCAATCAGGTGCTGTTAATATAGAGCAACAGACTCTCTTGTCTGAGGGGCGTCTGAAGACCCTAGAATGACAATGACTTTCATGAAAATAAGACCATCATTTTAAGAAACCTTATAATATGAAAAGCTCACGAAGCGAAGAAATTTATGTTCTCTCCCAGTGAGGAACATCTTGCACAATTTTAGCAACCCCTGAAGAAGTTTACTGAATATCCGCACCATATCTGGTTTTCTTGCTTGCAAAATAGTTATCAGTACTTCAATTTGTGTTCTTTTCTCAAAAACTCTCCTAATCAGGGCCAATCTGGGAGCTTAAGGGGAGATTTATGGCATCGATGACTAGAGCCTGCACCACGTAGGAAAGGGAAGACTGGAAAAAAACACCGATGATACCTTTATTTTGATCTTAGACAAGGAGCTTTTCAATAAAAACCGCCTACAATAAAACGCTGATAATAAAACCAAATCAACTGATAAGTGTAATGAAGCGTATATTGCAAATCGATGGTAAAACTACCGAACCACATATCTCGGTTTGCGATGTTGCAGACTTCCTGTCATACTACATTTTTGTGATAGAGAATGACTGAACCTCCATTCTTAAAAATTTCCGTAATTTTTCTTCTCCGTGCCAGGTACATTCTTTAAAAACTTCAAAAAATGATGTTGGTTTTTTCTCTTTTAAAAAAATAAATTCGGGAGCGGAGATAAACACGGCAAACGAGATACGTGGTTTAACAGTTTCACCGTCGAACTTGGCAAACAACGGGAAATTTTGTCCTCGCATGCGTTCAAAACAGACAGGCGCATCTTTTGGAATCGATTTTTCCACTCTGAGAAGTAGTGTAAGAAATGACAGAGGTATAAATTCTGCAATAAAAGTAATACACGTATCTAAAATTTCACGAATTTTTTCGAAAGCACGGAGATATTGAGCGATCTTAGTGCTGCATTAAATTACTTTTGGATACGAGCCCGCATTTTACTTTTTCGACCTTTTCCGTGTGTTTAAAACAAGGGGCAATGAGGAACGCGTATGAAACAAACTTGCCATAGTGTCATTATCCTACAATGTATAATAATGACATGGTTATAGATTAAAAAATCGAGTTACAAGTCAAAATAAACTAGTAACATTTCAAACTATACATATACATGTAGAATGTTCTACATGTATTTGTAGTTTGAAATATTACTTGTTTATTTTGGCTTGTGGCTCGATTTTTTAATCTATATGTATAATCATGTTCTTTACAGCTCAGTTAGCTAAATTTGGCAAAAAAAATGTATGATAATGACTGCCCTTTATTCACGCATACCCTGTCAACATTTCAAAATCATTAGCCATCTCCGGATTCAGGAATCACAACTAAAGGACTTGAAACATTTTCTAATTTTTTTGCACTATGTGAATATTTTTCTTTGAAACTTCAAGGCTGCTGGGGCGCAAACTTGATAAAATCCAAAAATTTTAAAAGTCGTATACCTAATTGGTTCGTATTTTTCGGCATACAATCCGTTTTCATCCTGACGGATCGCGAGAGGAAATTTAGAGAAGGATCAATTAGACAAAACGTTGAAAATTTTGTAGGTATTCACAAAACATGACGCGACACTTGGACACTTTCTTCTGCGCGCTTTACCAGTTTATTTTTGGAAAACCTTTAAAATGAAGCATGTTTCTAATGCATTTAAAAAACTGTTGCGATCTTAGGTAACAGTGCATCATCTTCATTTTCCTTCGATATGCGCACATGCGCGATTCGATTCACCTTTCAAGAGGTGATTTTGACCCAAAAATACGTCGTAACAACCTCGAAAGAACTTACTGGCTCGATAAATATTGTAACGATAATATTGTCTGCCGGGAAGTACTTTCGCGCTTATTTAGGCGTATTTATGGTCAATAGAACTATGTTTTACGGTTAAATGCAATTAAAATGGAGCACGGAAAGTTTACGTTCATAGTTCCTTCTATTATTCTACTACCCTTAAAATGCCGTATGCGCATTCGAATTTTGTCATGTTTCCCCCAAATTAAATATGACTTTTTGATGCAAGTATGAGTAATCCTTGAAATTTTAGGATATTAAAGTTGCGAATTACTTGCTCTTAAAAATTGGAGAAAGAATATCCTCAAATTTTTTTTGAAAATGTATTCATCCAAGGGATGTTCATACGACGTTCTTTCTTCGCAAGGCAGTATACATACTCCATCCCATGGTATCTCTCGAGCAAATTTTGTGCTTTACGGTAGAGGGTGTGCATAAATCGTCGTTTCTCTGACCAGTGGCAAAACGTGAATGATCGATTATTGATATCCCATTTGAAGCTGCGGTAAAAAGTCGATTATTAAGGTGTCCGTTGCAAACACCCTGTCTTTCGATCCTTTTCTATGGGTTTGGATGACAGAACAATCAATATATCCGAAAGTTCGCCGCGTCACTGCCTCTGACGTAATATCGACAGTGAAACTACCAAACCACGTATCTCGGTTTGCGACGTCGCAGACTTCCTGTCATACTTTATTTTTTAAATGAAAAACTACCTAACGTCCAGTCTTGAAACTTTCTGTGATTTTTCCTCTTCGTGCGGAGAAAATTCTGTGAAAATTTCAAGGAATGATATTGATTTGGTCTAGTTCAAAAAAATAAAATGCGAGCGTAGATTTTTAAACACCGCAAACGAGATACGTGGTTTGGTAGTTTCACCGTTGATATGGGCGTACTTTAATTTCCGCACCTGAGCTCTGTTCTTCGTATAAGACTATGCTTTCCTGGGCTCATGTGGAAATACAGATATGCCCTCACGTCGCACACTGGGCCGAATCGATAGGAGGATTCGGACAACATCTGAAGACTTTGAAAGCTTATATTTGCGGAACTATGAGACAAAAAAGTTCAAAAGTGGTTTCATTGGGTTTTTCGTGAAATTTCCTTTCAGAAACACCCATTGAAATTAAATTTGAGCCGAAATAAACATCAAAATTTGAAATTTTAGCCAACAATTTCATGTCCGACTTCTTCTATTGGCTTGTTCCATTGTGCGTCAGAGGACAGACGACATATGTGCCTGACAATACTGCTGTGCTAAGGAAGAACGTTGTATGAAAATTCGGGAGTTGCCAAATTTCCCTCGATAAAACATGTATTTTCGACTCAATTTAAGCATATTTTTCCTCTAAATTTTCAGATGTCTCAGATTAAATTGCTTACGAAAATGTCTGAAAATTTTTGAGAATAATATTCAGAATTTTCGCGGTAAATTCGATTTTTATCGGAGAAAACTTGGCAACGTCTGAAGGTTCCTACGGCGTTCTTCCCTAGCACGGCAGAATAGTATGACTTGGTTCTCGGGGATTTTCAAAAAAAAATAAATAAATAAAACCCGAGAAATAGCATCGATAAACCATTGAATCCTCCCCAAAAGTATTGTGGAATCCGCTCAGTCTTCACCACCAAAATATAATTTCGACAAATTTCGTTGGATATTTGGCGAGTTCGCACTGTCAGGCTGAATAGGAAAAGGCAGAAATCTAACAGTTGCTGACTGTTATTTTTCATAGCAACCAGGAGGAGAGGAGGATGAGGAAGGCGCGACGGGGGTCGGACGTGTCGGCGCGTTTGACGCATTGTTCCTCACACAGTCACAACACTCACCCAGACACTTCCGCGTTAAGGCATAATTAATTTCGTGTCAGTCTTCACTGATGTGAGGTTAATAAGGATAATGATTTATTTGGAGCCTTTGCGTGGAGTCTATTGGTCTCGCGGGGAAGGATGTCTGTCGGAATGTTCCGATACGGTACCTCAGGAAGTCTCCCAAAAATGAACTGAATTTAACAAGATGATAAGAGAGAGAGAGAGACACAATAGCCCGAATGCAGACAACAATGAAAAAACACTAAAATACAAAAATAAATGGGTATACAAGGCTAGAGGAGACATAAAACAAACCAGGACGTTTCGGGCCAATTACATGCCCATTTTCAACTGGAGCAGAAGCTAAAAAATGTAAAATTTAAAACGAGAAAATGAGCATGCAACTGACCGAGGTAGGAATCGCAAACTCTACTTTGACAAGATGCATCAAGTCGTATTTTGAAAAGAAATGAGCTGGGAGTAGTTTTGGATTCAACTAATAGTGAATTTTGCCCTGTCAAAAATTCAAGGTAGAGAAAAAAAAATATTTCGAAAGTTATTTAGTCATTGAATTTAGTCCTCCACATCAGCTACCGGAAGTTGGCTGACCGACATGAAGCACAAATTTCGAAAATAGGTCCAGTAACTCATTTCTCTCGGTTCAAACTTGATTTTCCAAACTCATTTTTCTTGGTTAAACTTGATACTTAAAACCTCACTTTCCTTGATTAAAACTTGATGCAACTTGGTGCGTGTCTGTTAAACTTTGTTCTAATCGTCAAAGTAAGGGCGCATTTCAATTTCCATGTGAGCCCTGTTTTACATATAAACCCATGCTCTCTGGGGCTCTT